ATGATTAGAGCAGAAGTAACTGAAGACACTGATATTAAAAAGTTGAAGAAAATGATGTTGTTATGATGTTTCCGGTTTACATTTTTGTCACGAAGGACCACAGGTGTAACTATTGTTTGTGCAAAAATAAAAATAAAAATCTCAAAATCACTGTTGGCACTATTTTCTGATAATCTCTGACAACCATAACACAAACAAATTAAAATGATTTGAAAAGTACAGAAATAATCCAATTTTTTTTTCTTTTTTTATGCACAAAATTTGAGATTTACTGTAAAAAATGACATTTAAAGGGTTAAAATGTCAAAATATTATATAATATTTGGTATGTGTGATTAGAGCAGAAGTAAATGAAGACACTGATATTAAAAAGTTGGACAAAAATCTGCACTGCATAAAAATATTGTGGCATTCTTTTTCGATGTACACTTTTGTCACGGAGGAGCACAGGTGTAACTATTTTTAAAGGGGTGCACGAGGGTCAAGTAAAGTACAATTACCTAAAAATTTTACTTAAGTACATTACATTACTACTTGTATTTTGTGCAGCTGACGTGACGGACATCTAACCCACTCACTCATGTGACAATTCTCTCTCAAAACGAACCAAAATATTGACCTTTTTTTAGCAAACCTGACACTTGTTGACAGTTTTCTGCTTGTTAAAAATCCTTCTCCTTTTTTTTTTTTTTTTTTTTCTACTTTTTTTTAATGGAGCCAGAAAAACCCAATTTAAACTTTATTCTGACAGTGAACCCACACAGTAACCCTTAGTCTGGTTATCCTGCGAGGTCCTGTCTCTCAACCTTCCAGACTCCCTGTGTTGAAATAAAGCTGGAGGACAGGTCTGTGCTGTGGTGGACTTTGCTGTGTAACTGTCAGACTGCACATTTGTTGACCTGGTTTATGGTTCGTATCTCTGGGCCTATCCATATGAGACAATACCTGGCGCAAAATGCAGAATTGGCGTTTATAACGTTATGCCCTCATCAAAAATATGTCCGAAGAGGTTTTAGATGCTATCCATGCATGTTTGAGTCATCTAGCGATCTCTCCTGGCCCCTATTCGAACCCTCCTTATGGGTAGTTTTAAAGTTCCGCGCCTACAAGCCTACGTCACCCATGCTCGTACAATTTTCTTGAGGCATGATACGAGACAGTACACTACGTCTTCACAAACCTGATGTACAGTAGTTTCATGAGCAGGAAGGACGCTGATTATGTTGTGAAAGCGCTCTGAAGGGGGAGTGACTTAGCCTACTGTACGTTCAGACTGCAGCCTGAAGTGACCCAAATACGATTTTTTTTGTCGCTCCCATGCTCCTGTATCTGATCTTTTAATGACAGTTTCAAAGACACATCAGATTTTTTTTTAAATGCGACTCAGGACACTTGGATATGTGCTCCTAAAACCGATACATATCTAATCTTTTGGCATGTGACTTCAGTCTGAACGGCCAGGTCACATTCATCCCACCTACACATCAGACTCGGAGATTCGTCAATGGAGGGAAAGCGAGGTTAGTGAGTTGTCGTATTTTTCAGACTATAAATCGCACTTTTTTCATGGTTTGGGTGGTGCTGCGACTTATACTCCAGTGCTATATTCAAATGTTCACAATGACAGCAGCAAGAGGTTCTAGTCTTGTGTGTGAGTATCTGCTGCTCCTGTTCCTCCTGTACCACTGTCACTTCACTCTACTGCGCATGTCTCCTGCAGAAAGAGCCTCTGTCCTGTCTGTATCATGTCAGTCGATCGCATCATTACTTCTGCACCACTGAACAATTTAACATTTAAACAAACTTATAAAGACGACTGAGAAGACTGAACACAAACGCCCCCAAAAAGAAAATCATATTTTGCAGATTACAAGCTGCAAGTAGCAAAATCTGCAGCTGAAAATGGTAAAAAGAAAGTTTGGAGTGAGTGAGAAACTTATGACACCGGGAGGATGCACCATAGCCTGATTCATCAGCTACTTTCACTTTGTAGAAACCATCTGACCTCACAGTGTTAGAATTCCTTTGCTCAACGGTAGGCAGGTACTTTTTATCATTTAACCAATCGCTGCTATTTGGTCGTGATGTATGTAATGCGCCGCTAACAGGGCTAACTGGTATATTAAGCTTTTCCCAAATCCTGTAGGAAGAAGGACAATAACGTCTTTCCCCTTGATGAAATTCACCAAACATTCTCTTTGTTCTAACTTTAAATCCTTGATCTCGGGAATCATTGACAACACTGAATATATGACTCTTCGCTGATTGGCTGGTGCCCAAGCTCGCACTTCCGGGGTTTTTGTGAACTGTCTACTGTATTCTGATTCCTGACCTAGTCACTGGAGAGAAATTAAATTGAGCGGAGGCACTAGGTGGCACCAGCCCGGCTAGGTGCGCCATGCAACTTTCCTGGAAGTCATTGCATCCAATGATCAACAAAGCCAGGACTTCATTGACACCGAAACCATCCTGTTGGGATTCAGAAAGGCTAGAATAATTCTAACTGGAACTGATGCTGAGTCTGACGACAGTTACACAGAAGAGGAGGCGGCGCTCTGTTTACCTCCGGAGGTCACGGAGTCACTCAGAAGTGACACCGAGGATGAAGAACTGAATGGATTTAGTGATTTGGAGTGAGATGGAGAATTTGGTAAACTTGTTCTGTTCTGTTGTTTATGTTATAGTTTATCTGAAGAACTGTTCATATGTGACGTTAACAGTCTGTTGTTCTCTCTTCTATTGTTTTTACTAGAACTTGACTTTTAAGATGAAATGTCAGTTCCTGGTCTCTGATTTTATATAATAAATTTCCCCCAAAAAGTGCGACTTATTTTTTTCTTCTTCATTACTCATTTTTGGCTGGTGCGACTTATTCTCCAGTTGACTTATTGTCAGAGAAAAACAGTCATTAATATTTGGGGTGATCTGTGTATTCAGGTCAAATTGGACGGGTCTTTTCAGAACAGGGCGATTTTTGAAATGATTGCCAAAGAAATGGCCGAGAGCGACTACAGGCGGTCTTGGCTCCAATGTCAACAAAAAACACAGAGCCTACGAGCCAAATACAATGAGGCTAAAGACTCAAACAAACGAAGAGGCTGTGGACGTGTAACCTGTCCATTTTATGAAAAACTGGACCGTATTTTGGCAGACAAGCCCAACGTTTAGGCGACTTCCGTAAACACTGAGCACACTTGTTGCATGTGATGTCATTGTGTCCTCCAATGCACATGCGGGACACTTTTGGGGCATTTAAAGTTCACACTGGAGATCACACACAAGTCACATTTAATTGGAAATGTGAACGACCTCGTAAAAAAATCGGATTTCACAAAAAAATCCGAATTGCGCATTAAGCCCTGGACTCGGAGCACCAAAAACTAAACCAAAACTTATAAAACATGTTGATACATTGATTTTGGCAAATATAGTACTTTCAAAACAATAAAAGTTAACATGGTGATCTAAATATATTCTGTGTTAGCTGGTAATACCCCTTTGAAGTAAAATAAAATAAAAATAATGAGACGGTTCAACATTTGTGGTTTACCATAAGTTTGTATATTTCTTTCAAAACCAGCGAAGCTTCAACAGAGTCCTCCAGAGCCCTGCCCTCTGTGTGAAATGATGACATAACCTCAACCCAGTGCTGTTTGGTGCAGTCTGGAGAAGTTCCTGTCATGTGGGGTCAGACGGGGCACCGCTCTATTTCAGAACTGACTCGAAAATAACTGCAGCTCTGTGTATCAGGGGCAGCGGCGGGGAGAGTTTGAGTTCAGAACATTAAAGGGTATATGAGTGAGTTTGGAGGGATGGGACCTGTGGTAAATGTGTGATGCACTGGGTTTGGCTCATGGTCAATGGATTATTGGATGGATCATTGAGCAGATTTTTTGAACGTTCAGTTTTCAACTGAGGTGGGGACTCGTCATCGACATTGCGCGACTCTCACCTGGTAAAGCTTTTTCCCACTGGACACCGAAACTGTTCATCTGTATCATTATTATTATTATTATTATTATTATTATTATTATTATTATTATTTAAAAGATGCCTAGGCCATGATGTTTAATAATGTGGACATTAACAACTATGCTAAATATCCAGTGTGTCTTATGGAATGTTGAGAGGAGCCTAACATTCTATTGAGGTTCTGGGCCTGTTGATGGTAAAGAAATCATCACAGATCCATTGATTTTGGTTGGATTTTTATATTTTTTTCTGTGGAATGACTATACTGTTTGAAGAAAAGAATGGCATATTGGCTGATGTCAAAACTTGGGGGAATAGTTGATTGCCAATGAGGTAAAGATGAAAATATTGGAAAAAAGTAAAAAAAATGCCTTATTTTTTGGCATTAAATTGAGCCAGAATCATGTAGAAATGTGTTTTATGAATATTTTTTTCACTGAATGTTGTCACCACATGTGTTCTTTGCATCTGGAATGTATTTGTAGACAGCTTAACCAATTCACTGAGGATTTGAGGACATTTTTCATTTTTAAAAATTTTCTATCACAAAATGAAGGTTACCTACACTAAAATGGCCACAATTTTTTTTTCACGATATTTCCGGAAGAGCAGACCCTCCAATTATTGATCCTCAGGGTCACAGTTAACCTGTTACCATCCTCCTATTTTGGCGTGTGCACAATAGCACTACATACCCAAGTGCCATAGCTCCTAGAGGCGCATTTCCAGATCACAATAGACTCCTTAATCCAGCATTTGTTAAACCCCAGTTTCACAGCCATTTTGAGTCCCTCTGTTCTGTATTTAGCATTCACACGCCTGTGTCGGTGCTGCTCTGCATCCCCCAGCAGAGACAGTCTGTAGCTCCTCCCACACATGCCCTGCTACACACTACGCTCTCCCATCCTCTTTCTGAACATAAAACAAAACCAATATTTATTGAAAAAAAAGGACACTTTGAGTGTCAGCACACTTTCTAACCATACTTTTATTCACTTGTTTCAAGGTTTGCAACTCAATTCTTAACCTCAGTGCTTAGTGTCCACGGAGCAGCAGCAGAAGCGCTTCAGCCACGACAGACCCCTTGGGAGGACGGTTCTCTTCTTCTTGGGCGCAGTGTCACCTAAAGAGACAAATTTTTATTAGCAAATGTCTTTTATGTTGTCAGTGAGGATAATCTGAGTGAGTCTTACCTGGAGGGGGCAGCACTGTGGCCTCAGGACTCGGAGCAGGAGGAGGTGGGAGAGGATGGACCTTCGTCTTACGAAATAGATGTGGTCTGACCTTCCGTTTTGGAACAGGAAGTACTCTCGCCTGCTCTTCACACACAGGGATTGGTTCTTCCCACACCCTCGCAGTCCTCACACTGTGGAAAACAATAACTGTGTTAGTCTCATATTTATTATTTCTTTATTTCTTCTATACTGAACAAAAGGTAGCTGTTAACTTGACAATTACCACTACATGACATCACAAAGTGAAACAGAGCATTTTGAAGTTTGGAGAATGAGTAATTCTGCATTATTAGTCTAATATATAAAAATGAAACAACTGAAATAAAACAACAAAGTGTTTGAGGAGGTAACAACATTTGAATGTGGCTAAAGCTAAACCAGAGTGAATTTTGCTCATTATTTGAACCTTTAAGATTATTTAACTGAAATGTACAAACCACAAACTCTGATGAGGACCATAATCAGAATTAAATTCAGTGTTTTTGCCATTTAGATGTTATTTTAGTAATGTCATAACTCCAAAACCTAATAACAATTAAAAAACAGAAGCAAGTCTCACCTCTCTAAAGGTTTGCAGTCGTCCAGTTCAAAAGGACTGGTGTTTTCTGGAGAGGCCAGTTTGACTACGGTGACCACAGGTTTCCTCACAGGCGTCTGCTGGACCTGCTCAGGCTGCTCCTGTGACACTGGGTCTTCTGTGTGACTGTAAACAAATACACAAATATACAATTACATTCTGTTACTTTTGCTTTACACTGTATTTTAAAAGGTCCTGTATTACGCAGAATTGACTCTTGTGAGCTTTAAGTCATGTTATAATGTTCCCTCATCAAAAACATACTTTGAGTTGTGTTTTCTTTCATTTCCACATTCAGTAACCCTGGTTTATTAGACTGTCTACATCTCCACCTTCCACCTTGTGATGTCATGAAGAGGTAGTTTTTAAGTTAACAGCAACTTTTTACCTTTTGTTCAGTAGAGATTAGCAGTTTCAGGACTTAAATCATCCAAATGATTCTAGTTAAGGGAGTATGGAGTTTAAAAACACAGTGGAGCACTTATTGTGTTATCACATGACATCACAAGGTGGAACAGTGTTTTCCATTTGAGAGAACAATCTAAATATGTAGGGTTTGTGTGTTAAACATGTGAATGAAACAGAACACAACTCCAGGTCTGTTTGTGAGGAGGAAACAACATAATAACACAGATCAGAAAACAGCGTAATATGGACCCCTTAAAAAATTTGCACTCACCCGTCTGTCTGTTGTTCCTCCTCTTTAAAGGGACTGGTGTTTTCTGGAGAGGCCAGTTTGACTACGGTGACCACAGGTTTCCTCACAGGCGTCTGCTGGACCTGCTCAGGCTGCTCCTGTGACACTGGGTCTTCTGTGTGACTGTAAACAAACACACAAATGTACAATTACATTATAATATTACTTTACCATAGACTGTATTTCAGAAATTTGCTTGAGTACAAGAGTGAAATTTTCTTTCATTTTCCCATAGACTTTTTGAAAATAAATGAAACACGGTTAAAAGCTCATGGCTAATCTGCCTTGTGGCAACCAAAAGACCTATAATTTGATTTAATGGGCACTGTTGTCTGTTTGTGAGGAGGAAACAACATAATAACACAGATCAGAAAACAGCGTAATATGGACCCCTTAAAAAATTTGCACTCACCCGTCTGTCTGTTGTTCCTCCTCTTTAAAGGGACTGGTGTTTTCTGGAGAGGCCAGTTTGACTACGGTGACCACAGGTTCCCTCACAGGCGTCTGCTGGACCTGCTCAGGCTGCTCCTGTGACACTGGGTCTTCTGTGTGACTGTAAACAAATACACAAATATACAATTACATTCTGTTACTTTTGCTTTACACTGTATTTTAAAAGGTCCTGTATTACGCAGAATTGACTCTTGTGAGCTTTAAGTCATGTTATAATGTTCCCTCATCAAAAACATACTTTGAGTTGTGTTTTCTTTCATTTCCACATTAAGTAACCCTGGTTTATTAGACTGTCTACATCTCCACCTTCCACCTTGTGATGTCATGAAGAGGTAGTTTTTAAGTTAACAGCAACTTTTTACCTTTTGTTCAGTAGAGATTAGCAGTTTCAGGACTTAAATCATCCAAATGATTCTAGTTAAGGGAGTATGGAGTTTAAAAACACAGTGGAGCACTTATTGTGTTATCACATGACATCACAAGGTGGAACAGTGTTTTCCATTTGAGAGAACAATCTAAATATGTAGGGTTTGTGTGTTAAACATGTGAATGAAACAGAACACAACTCCAGGTCTGTTTGTGAGGAGGAAACAACATAATAACACAGATCAGAAAACAGCGTAATATGGACCCCTTAAAAAAATTTGCACTCACCCGTCTGTCTGTTGTTCCTCCTCTTTAAAGGGACTGGTGTTTTCTGGAGAGGCCAGTTTGACTACGGTGACCACAGGTTTCCTCACAGGCGTCTGCTGGACCTGCTCAGGCTGCTCCTGTGACACTGGGTCTTCTCTTCTGTGTGACTGTAAACAAACACACAAATGTACAATTACATTATAATATTACTTTACCATAGACTGTATTTCAGAAATTTGCTTGAGTACAAGAGTGAAATTTTCTTTCATTTTCCCATAAACTTTTTGAAAATAAATGAAACACGGTTAAAAGCTCATGGCTAATCTGCCTTGTGGCAACCAAAAGACCTATAATTTGATTTAATGGGCACTGTTGTCTGTTTGTGAGGAGGAAACAACATAATAACACAGATCAGAAAACAGCGTAATATGGACCCCTTAAAAAATTTGCACTCACCCGTCTGTCTGTTGTTCCTCCTCTTTAAAGGGACTGGTGTTTTCTGGAGAGGCCAGTTTGACTACGGTGACCACAGGTTCCCTCACAGGCGTCTGCTGGACCTGCTCAGGCTGCTCCTGTGACACTGGGTCTTCTGTGTGACTGTAAACAAACACACAAATGTACAATTACATTCTGTTACTTTTGCTTTACACTGTATTTTAAAAGGTCCTGTATTACGCAGAATTGACTCTTGTGAGCTTTAAGTCATGTTATAATGTTCCCTCATCAAAAACATACTTTGAGTTGTGTTTTTTTTTCATTTCCACATTCAGTAACCCTGGTTTATTAGACTGTCTACATCTCCACCTTCCACCTTGTGATGTCATGAAGAGGTAGTTTTTAAGTTAACAGCAACTTTTTACCTTTTGTTCAGTAGAGATTAGCAGTTTCAGGACTTAAATCATCCAAATGATTCTAGTTAAGGGAGTATGGAGTTTAAAAACACAGTGGAGCACTTATTGTGTTATCACATGACATCACAAGGTGGAACAGTGTTTTCCATTTGAGAGAACAATCTAAATATGTAGGGTTTGTGTGTTAAACATGTGAATGAAACAGAACACAACTCCAGGTCTGTTTGTGAGGAGGAAACAACATAATAACACAGATCAGAAAACAGCGTAATATGGACCCCTTAAAAAATTTGCACTCACCCGTCTGTCTGTTGTTCCTCCTCTTTAAAGGGACTGGTGTTTTCTGGAGAGGCCAGTTTGACTACGGTGACCACAGGTTTCCTCACAGGCGTCTGTGGGACCAGGTCAGGCTGCTCCTGTGGCTCTTCTTTTCTCACGCGACTGTAAACAAATACACAAAATATAGTTACACTTCTGTACTTTTGCCATAGACTCTTTTTTTTTTCAGTTGTTTCATTGTGTGTGAAAACAAATTGTTTTCATTTTCATTGTTGACCCTGAGTCCCTTCTAAGTCACTCCCCTTTCAGAGCGCTGTCCACTATTCATTAATTTGTGTTAACAATACAGAGAAACTGTACTATTTGATCTCTGCAGTGCAATTAAAGCAAAAACATCTCCAGGGAGACAAGTAGAAAAGTTACATAGTACACTTTAAACTTGAGAAGTGAAAAGAAAGTTTGAACAGTGGTGATCTAAAAACAAACCTTTTAGGGCTTATGAATGGATGTTGGAGGATTTGTGAGGGAGTTATCCGAGCAGACACTTCCATCTTCAACATCTGAGCGAGCAGGTCTGTGGCTCTCTTGATGTCCTGGGCGACATTCCGGTGAGATCTGGGAGGATAATTTTCCTACAAACAAATCAGGAACACATCAGTATTTACAGTGTTTACATTAGTTGACTAAATATTTTATTGGAGTTATGAAGATTTATATGGACCATGACCAAAGAGAATTAATGGTGTGATTCAGCTAAAAATTTGGGAGTGAATCATATGTTCAAAGGCCCATATTACAAAATTTTCTGATGTTATAATGTTGTTTCCTCATCAAAAACAAACCTGGAGTTGTGTTTTGTGTCACAGTTTTTTTCTTCTTTCATTCATTTTAACACACATTTTAACGCTTTGTAAATTTACGATGTGTGTTTTTAAACCCTAAACACCTTCACTAGAATCATTTGGATGATTTCAGCCCTGGAATTGCCCGTCTGTACTGAACTCAACTTGAAAACTACCACTTCATGACATCACACAATGTGGAACAGAGCATTTTGAGGACATTTGGACACGTATAAATAAAATAAAACACAACTTCAGGGATGTTTTTGAGGAGGAAAGAACATTCTAACATGTCTTAAAATATAATACAGGACCTTGAATCTGCCTTCTCACGTATAAATACACACATATCAGTGTGTGTGTGTGTGTGTGTATGTATGTATATGATATATATATATATATATATATATATATATATATATATATATATATATATATATATATGTATGTGAAATCGTTGTTTCGGCCAAAGACAGTGTTTACCTGGACCAGATGGTGGAGGGAGCTGAAGCGCTCTGAGAAGTGGGTCTTACACTTGTGTTTGTAAAAATTCTCCATCTCTTTGCAAGTCTGAAAACAGCAATTGAGAAGTTTATAATTTTTACTTTTGTGACACATAAAAGAATGAATCTAACTAGAAGAAATGTTTACTTTGAGGACCCATCTGTCGCCGACCCGGTGGAAGAATTTCCGAGTCATGAGCCCCTGACTGAGCACATGATCAGGAGGTGCACCGAAGACTTTGATCATAATTCTCAACTGTATCAAAAGAAGCACACGTTTGTTAGACAAGACTTAAAGGTGCACTAGGTAACATTTCTGGAGGGTCCGGTACCATGGAGAAGTTATTGTTAACCCGGGTATATTTCACAGTATTAAACTTAAAGTATTAAACGTACACTGCCAGTCAAATGTTCGATATATTGTGAGGGCCTCCGCTATTATTGTGAGACTTTTGACGATACAATGTCATGATATGTGGGTTTTCGTTATGCCTAGAAGAGACTGGCTGGTCAGGTAACTAACTACGGCTTGTCTCCAGGAAGATAGATTAATTGAAATGCTATTTTGTGGAATATTTCAGACAAAACAATGCCAACCTCATGGAGACGATCAGGTATCAGAGCCTCCACCAGAAAAGTTACGTAGTGCATCTTTAATATGTATGTCAAATTCAAAAAAAAGAAAAAAGTTTTTCATGATCTACGCTTGACTTACCGTGTCATATTCAGTGTTGTTGGGGAATAATCTCATTTTTAACAACAGCTCGACAAACAGGGTCCCCAGGCACCACACGTCCACGGCCTCGTTCCAAGGCAAACCCAGAATGATTTCAGGGGGTCTGGAGAGTGGAGAGGAGAGAGACATTAACATCACAATGTTATTCAGGGTTGTGTCCAGTATCTCTATAGCATATGTTTTATTTTGATCATTCTTGATATTTTTTTTAGAATTTCATCAGGAATGGGCTAAAATGTGCTGTCAGGGTCTTAGTTGAAAACGTGAACGTCTAGTCTGAATTACAGATGATATAATTAATCTTCTAATTTTGCAGATTGGCAAACTGCTCGCTAACTGTTAACATCACTACTTCCCGTCTAATTCTAAAATGAATAAATAATTCAAGATCAGGCAGTGAATAGTGAAGCTGCAGGTGGATGTCACTCTCATGTTAAACACTTGAGCAAATGAACTTCCAAAGTTTATAAAGGCTTTTTCAGTACTAAGCTCTACAAGTAGTCTTTACTAATTTAATGTTTTTTTGTTTGTTTTGGTTTTTAAAGTAAAAAAAAAAAAAAAAAAACAGGATACAAAACTATAAACGTGTGATGTTTTTTTTTGGCAAATATAGCATTTTTAAAACAATAAAAGGTAACATGGTGATCTAAATATGTTATGTGTAAGCGGTTAAAAGCCCATAAAAGCAAAATACCCCATCTTTAAATATCCCAAGTCCATCCCTGTATGTCCCACCACTGTATTCCCCGTTATGTCTTTTCTCTACTTTTTGAGACGTACCTGTAGCACTCGACTTGGAACTCCGAGCACACTTCAGCCTCCTCTGCAGGTAAGGCCAAACCAAAGTCGATGAGTTTCACCTCCAGGGGCCTCTTCCTGCGATTCACCACCATCACATTGTCCAGTTTCACGTCCGTGTGGATTATGGACATCTTTTTCAGCTCCTCCAAGGCTGTGGCCACCTGTGCAGGACACAAGTGAGCAGGGTTAGGAGTATAAAACGGACATAAAAGTTCATTTGTAGGATTGTATTGGGCCTGTCAAAATAAGTAAATACAGATGATAAAGGATAATTTACAAGTCATTTCCCTTATGTATCAATAAAGTTTGTCAGTGTCTAATATTGAAATTAATGTATGGCACTGACACAAAAACCCAAGAGCATCACATTTAAACCACAAAAACTATTCTAAATCTCAATATTCTTAAACAAAAACATGAACTGTTATTTTTATCAAACTTTTATGATTTAAATATTATCTTATCATCAAAAAAATAACCAGAAATGTCCTAGTAATGAAAAGAAAGATGATAAATGCTGACCCCAAAAATATGTTGTCCCAGCTTTCATATATTGATAAGTTGGTAATGTAATGCAATTAAATATATTTTCAAAGTGTTCCTCCCATAACTACATACTGAGTTACTTTTCCCTGGGGTAGTACCTGTTTGATGATGGTGCGGACAGTGGAGAGGGGCAGTGGGGCGTATGTTTTGAGGTAATCGTACAGAGACATGTCCAGCGCTTCAAAGATGATTGCTTTCCCCAAACGAGTGTCAAACACCTCCAAGAATTTGATGATGTTTTTCTGGTCACATCCTTCCTCCATCAGTCGAGTCAGGATAGAAATCTGAACAAACAGAGACAAGAGTTCAATGAAATCAGATTAGGCACCGAGGTAAAAAGATGCGTCATTAAAGAGGCACTGTGTAACTTTTCTGGTGGATAGTTTCAGCTGTTAGATGTTATCGCTGTGTCTTGAATCAGGGACACACTTGGTCCGTCCGTATTGGAACAAATAAAGGAGAAAAATATCGGATAGCGGATATTCTGCAGAATTACTAAACTCTTTGATTTTATTTGTAAATGATAAGTGACCAATGAGCTCCTTCATTTCACTTGTGTCACTGAAATAAACAAATCTGATTGGATGATGACGCTTGGCCAGGCTCGAGGCGCGACAGGGGACGGGGGACCAGACTGATATCAATCTTTATAAAAATACAGAGATATATCAGTGTGGATTTACTAGTGAACTGCTTTTAGTCATTTTTAGTTGACAAAAATTATGTAATTTTTGTTGTTGTTTTAGTTTGATTTAGTTTTTTTAGTCAGCAAAATGCGGCAAAAACTATTTCACAAAATTTCAACACTGGATTCTTACTGTGATTGCCTATCCACAGTTCTGACCTGTAACTTGGTGTCACTCCATGAAGAAAAGCAGGTTGTGCAAACCCTCCACCAGAAAAGTTATATAGTGCACCTTTAAATCATATAAAAAATCTAAATGTTTTACCTCGTCCTGGGTGTCCTGCTGAAATAACGGCAGTTTGACAGCCACTTTCTGGAAAGTGTACTTGCTCTGACACTGGACCACTTGGCCAAATCCTCCCTCGTCCAGGTATCTGATGAACCTGTATTTTTTGGGGAGAGATGATTTGATCTCCACATTGCTCAGCACCTTTGTTTCCATCTGGAAATCTGAAAAACAGTACACAAACATGTCACAATGTGTTTTTATTCATGTCTAAATGCAAAGTAGTCCTGACTGCAGATACATACAAAAAAGTTACTACAATAACAAATGAACACAACTGAACCTGTGTTACCAGAGCCTAAACCTGCAGAAATCTTACGTACACTTCCTTTAAGAGAACGCCAACAGTGATTGAATTGTGGGCGTAACAGTAGATGTGGGTAGGTCACTTTTACTTGAGTAACTTTTGAATACTTCTCAGAATATTTTTCACAATCTATACTTTTACTACTTTTAACTGTACTCTTACTCAAGTTAAAGTTATGGCTTCTCTTCCCACTGTGAGTAAGACTACAAGTGACAAAAGTTTCATGTTGACAACATGAAACAATTTGAACATTTGTTTCTTGCACTGCTCCTTCAGATATGATTTAGTTGTTCTAATATTTGTTGTGTAACCTTTGAAAACACCAGATTTTGTGCGTTATTTCATGTTTTGTCTTTCCAATTACATCAACTTTAAATCACAAACCAGATGCCACGTCTTACTGAGCAGTCGTTTCCATAAATACTGTTTAACTCTTACGTCTTACTTTCTTGTACACCTTTTAACTTCTACTTAAGTAATATTATTTTGAAGTACTGCTACTTGTACTTAAGTAGAAGTTCAAGTTTTGGGGTACTGTACCCACTTTCACTGAGCAGTTGCTACACTGAAAGAGTTTGGTGTTTGTAGCACTGGCCTAACACTTAACAGTGAACCTAAATTAACTCGTTTTCCCTTTCAAAAAGCACTAAACAATCACGTGTTAAGAAATGTATTAGAATAAGTTTATGTTTGAGACACTGTTCGCCACAACAAAACCTCCCGCAAACTTTCAATCTAACTAAAACGTCAATTCCCTTTGGTCAAAACACATGAAATGAAGTAGAAACTTACCTGAATGTGTTTATGGAGCTGTGTCCTGAATAAAAGTTGGGCGTCATAAGTTTTGTCTCTCTGCCATATGGTGTGACTGTTCTTTGCTGTCCTTGCTGGCCTTTGACACTTCAAAGGCCTTTATGACACTTCAAAGTTCTAAGATGATAAATTATTGCCATAGTGACATGTCACTATGGCGATGGGGGAGAGAAATTCATTGTTATTTTTCAAATCTCTGTGTTCTACATAAATACAACAGACAGTACACTTTATTGATTGTATTATGTGTATTTTCTGTGGCTCCTCTCGCATTAGTCAGGTCATTAAAAAAAATCACTCTTTGAGCCATTTTCCGTGATGTTGTTGCTCCATTGCTCTGGCCTTCTCAGAGTCACTGCGAGCGCACACAAAACACAGCTTAAACCTCAGGCCTGAATTTGCTTTGGTCAGACTCAGGTTTATTTCTGTCATGAAACAAGTTGAGGCTTAAACTGAAGATGGAGCTAGATCAGGGGTGGACCTGCCGAACTTGAATAAATTATAGTAATAAACCTTTTTAATGTTTTATTTTTCCTGCATTTCTGCATAGTGCGTTTACATGCACCAGGACTCAAAAAACCCGATCGTAACCGAGATACTGATGTGCATGTATACACACTCATTATAAACCAGATCAAATATAACACGTTGCTGGCCGACTGACACGCTGACACTGTTCCGTCCTCGCGTTGGTCGTTGTTGAGTTTTGGCTCTGGGGACGCACATTGAACAGAAGTAGATCTGCATCTTCTACAGTTTTTGAAATAAAGACAGTCAGGAGGAGAGTGATGATGATAATATCCTGAAGGAGAACAGAAACAGTGCTTTTAAATAGAAACTGTTAGTATTTAAAAATAATAATAATAATAATAAAAAGTATTTTATTCATTTAATTTTCAGTGTTTTAGAAAGACTGATATTTTGTTGTGATGCTTTGTAGTGACTTTCAATTGAAAACAGGTTTTCTACATATCTCATGTGAATTTTTTCTCTCCACTCCATCCATCTGCTTCTGGTACGGCCCTTCCCTCAAATTTTAGAACCCTTTGTGGCCCCCGAGCCAAAACATTTCCCCAGCCCTGAGCTAGATTCAGCTCAGGATTTCAGGATAAGCCTGGATTTGTTAAGCAAATTTGATAGCACGCCTCCCCAGTACTGAATATACAATAACAGAGTAGCTGTTTATACACGACACTAGGACCAATTGAATATAAAACACAATTGTATGTCATATATATAGTTGGGGGTCTCCATCAGTCTGGGGGTCCCTGTCCTGAAAAACACTGATGATGCCTGATCTACTGAATGATAGAAATGATCAGGTTCAACATTTGTGATTTTACCTTTTAGATATTTCATGGCAAAGTACAAAGTAATCAATATGAAAACTGTCTCTTGCCTCCATCTGGTAGTACGATATCATCACACTTTGAAAAATATTAATGGAGACTGTGCAAGAGTCTAGATTAGAGATCTGCGCGAGAATTTTCAGTCCCGTTCCTGCCCACTCCTAGCCTGATTCATCAGCCGGTTTCACTTCCTGGAAACCATCTGACCTCGCAGTGTTAGGATTCGTTCGCTGGACGGTAGGCGGGTACTTTTTCTCATTTAACACGCCATCAAAGCAAAATCCTGATCTCTCTCTCAACCTTGGTTATGAATTTAAAACATCAACGCCAAAGTGAAAGGCACCAGCTGTTCTCCAAGAAACACCTTCCACTGCAAAACAATCAAGACGTGATGTTGCTGTAAAACCACAAGAACAAGAAAGTGCAGCTCAGTCTGTTTGTCTTCTGGGTCTGGTCAAGTGGTAACGGAGGGAAACAGGGGCAAATTTTTGACATTCAAATGTCTCTTATTCAGAAACTAGAGGGACTATTGAAATAAGTAAAGTATCAGAATGTAGGAAAGAGTTACACTCCAACAGGGTCAAGTTAAACCTGTGATATTCTTTCAAGTTGTTGACAAAAAATTTAAAACTCATGTTGGTAACAGAGGGAATGAAATATGCAGCACTTTTTGGGCAATAAATCCAAACAGTGATAACTCTTGGTTCTCACTTCCATATCCTTAACAAACTGGTTTGAATATTTGCTTCATATAGTTTTTTCTACCATATGGTACAAGATTAGGTTGAAAAACCTCTTACTTTTTGAGACTCATGAGATTTTTTATTAAGAAAGGTCATGGTAACGGAGGGAAAAGTAACGGAGGGAAAATTGTACAAACAAGTAGAAGGTGCAGGATTTTACATCATTTGTCAGATTTTTTTCATCTGAATACTTTAATATTACTTCAAAATGAAAGGAAACTATTTCTATAAAATATGTCAGTCCTTCCGAGCAAACTTTTATCATTTCAAATACTTTTTTTTTTTTTTTTAATCATGTCCCTTCATCAACAGTTCAAAGATGGAATAACACAAGATATGATGAAATACATCCATTTATTGACATGATTTGCAGGTCTTTGAAATTTGGGAAATAATTTTTGTTCCATGTTTCATACATGGTCTGTTTAAAACATATGGAACTTTAGAACCAAAAATGGTACAGAAAAAAGGTCAACAGTTTCATAAACTAGAGTACATATGTATCTGTTCAATACAGTTTTTATATCAGATGCATTAACTTGAGTTTTTGGCCTTGCTGTTTACTTTTTCTTTTTTTCTTTGATGGCGCTCCACATACAAAATGATCGCTGCAAATCTTAGGCAGTCAAAGGTTTCCTTTTTTGGTCCTTCCTGTGGATCAATCCTGCCCTTCGCCTTCGCCTTCCACTATTTTTCAGTTCCATTGGGAAGGGAAACAGTTTGAACAGAGGTTTGCAGTCACCAGTGTTGGGAAGGTGACTTTTAAAATGTATTCCCTACAGTTTACAGATTACATACCCCAAAATGTAGTTTGTAATGTAATCCATTAAATTATTTACAGTGAGTAATGTAATCTGAATACTTTGGATTACTTGATATTGCCATGCTTTTTTAAAACTACGTGGATGTAGCAACCACATCCACGTCCCCTCATGTCTCATAGAACAGTAGTGCAGTTATCATGAGCCTATGCAGGTTGTTTTTACTATTGCCGGTAGCTTTGGTTTGATATTTAACTTGTAGGTATTTTTGCGAGGGGGATTGTTCTTCGTCGGTTTCTTATTATTATTCCCTTTTCCGACCAAACGATCGCATTTTTGACCCCCTGAACATGGACGAAGTGTCCCCAAACCGGGGTTCAGATCGATCGACCCGGCGAAAAATTTGATAAAATGGGCATCGCAACAATGACCCGAGTGACCCGACTCAACAGCGCCACCTAGAATTCGACCCCTATGGGACTAGGGACAAACAAAGTTTGTCGCAGGGAAACGAAATTCAGAACAGTGATAGAGAACAATGAGACAAGACAAAAGATGAATTGGAGCATGACCCTATGACGAACAGGAAGTCGGCCATATTGGATCATACATTCGGCGCCGTTTTGACTTGGGTGTCTACAAAAAGATTCAAGTCCCCGGGGTTTGCTCCAAATGAGCTCAGATTTGACATGTCACATCTAGAGACATAAACTCACAAAATGCATCAGAAGGAATTTTGATTCTCCTTACGGTTCGCCCGTAGCACGCCGCCCAAAAACACCTTCATTTCCTGTTTTTTTTCGGTGACCTGTCACGGCCACAGGCATTGTCCTACAGAACTCAAATTCAAAACACAACTGTGTGATCCAGGCCTGAATGTGATGAAATATGAAATTTAATAAAAGTGAACTCTATAGCGCCCCCTAGCATAGACATGAAACCTCAACATTATTGGATTTGTACCAAATTCGGGAATTAAATTCTCCCCATGATTACAAGCAAAAAAGTTTATTACGGACATGATGCATTTTCAACAGTTGGCCAGCAGGGGCGCAAAGACTCCCCCAACAAATAGTTAGAAAATGATTACAGACACAGGCTGAGTCCGATCGTGCTGAAATTTGAATCACTAATGCCTGATCTCGGCCTAAACATAATACACTATAAAACAAATGAAAAGTGAACTCTATAGCGCCCCCTAGAATAGACATGACATGTTAACATTATTGGATTTGTACCAAATTCAGGGAATAAATTCTATGCATGATTATGAGCAAAAAAATAAATAACGGACATGGTGCATTTTCCACTGTTGGCCAGCAGGGGCGCAGTGACTCCTAAAAATATTTAAAGGTGCATTATGTTATGTGTCTAATGGACGAGCTGTCGGCCTGGGCGGATGTCGGGGAGAAAGGGTGACGTGTCGGGGCGGTCGCGAGTCCCCGGAGGTCGCGTGGGGGGGGGTGCGCGCCGGGGCGAGGGCCACCATCGCCGCGCGCGGCTTTAATTATATTTGTTTTGTTTTTTTATGTCTCACGTTGAGAGAAGTGGGTGGTCGGCGTACCCCCTGCGTACCACGCCCACTACACGCTTGTCCCTTTCTTCTTTAAATACAAAGGGATGTCTGAATTTCCAAGACACAAATGAGTTTTTGCCCGTGCTCTGCTGGTTCTGTTCTACTGACTCCTCGACCTCGTTCATTGTGTGACCGACACCACCAACGTTAACAAGACGTTTACACAGCTCTTATTGCATGTGTTCTGTTTGGGTTTCCAGCAATGAGTGGAATTACTGAAATAAAAACAGAAAAAAAAGGGATATAGCCCAAAATGTGAAAACAGGAAAATGCCACCATGTAATCCATTTATTTCAATGAAGTAACTGTAATTCATTTACCACTCATTGAAACTGTAACTGTAACCGAATGCAGTTACTCAGAATTTGTACTCTGATTATGTAACGCCGGTACATGTAATCTGATTCTCTTTTGCTTCCGAAGCACATTTCTCGAGCCGTTTTCCATTGTTAGGACATTCAACATCTACACAATTACGATATCCGAATCCCACAACTAAAATATGACAATATAAGAACCAAAAACAAAAGCGATACGGTTCAAAAGACTTGAAAAGATCAACTCTGACAATACACGCATCCCAGTGAGAAATCAAACATGGCGATTTGATGCTCACGTCTTCGGAAAATCCTCCCCAGTATGCCTTGCGCGATGACCGGAAGTCCGAAGTTCGCGATGCATGGATTCAGAATCTGTGTGAACCTCTCAGATCACCACAAAGTAACATATCTTTAAAGTTTAGTGTCATCATTTCAGATGGGGGAGCAGGGACTGTGTTTACAAATTTGAGGTCCAATTAATTAAAGGTGTGCTGTGTCACTTTTCTGCTGGTCTCCATGGAGATCTCTGAAGAAAATTGAAGTCATTCAGCTGGACAAAAGTCTAATATATTTGATTCTTCAGCTCTGAGAAATGAGAGAAATGAATGCACTCTTAAAAACCGGAGCCACTGAGAGGATAATACACACACACACACATGCACATACACACACACACATACACACTCCATGGAGATGTTTGTGCTTTGCCTGGAAAGTCACACAGTATGGCATTAAACCTCCAACACCATGGAGACAAACAGGAGAGACGTCAGGGTAAAATACAGGATTACAGGTTTAGTCCTGGTTTAGTCCTGGTTTAGTGTTGAATCAGTTCTGGTTCAGTCCTGATTTAGTCCTGGTTTAGTCTTAAGTCAGTCCTGGTTTAGTTCTTGCTTAGTCTTATTTAGTCCTCTTTTAGTCTTGAATCAGTCCTGGTTCAGTCCTAGTTTAGTTCTTGCTTAGTCTTGAGTTAATCCTGGTCTAGTCTTGAGTCAGACCTGATTTAGTCCTGATTTAGTTTTGAATCAGTCCTGGTTTAGTCCTGGTCTAGTCTTGAGTTAGTCCTGGTCTAGTCCTGCTTTAGTCTTGAGTCAGTCTTGATTTAGTCCTGGTTTAGTCTTGAGTTAGTCCTGGTTTAGTCTTGATTTAGTCCTGGTTTAGTCTTGAACCAGTCCAGATTTAGTCCTGGTTTAGTCTTGAGTTAGTCCTGGTTTAGACTTGAGTCAGTCCTGGTTTAGTTCTGGTTTAGTCCTGGTTTAGACCTGGTTTAGTCCTGGTTTAGTCTTGAACCAGTCCAGATTTAGTCCTGGTTTAGTCTTGAGTTAGTCCTGGTTTAGACTTGAGTCAGTCCTGGTTTAGTTCTGGTTTAGTCCTGGTTTAGACCTGGTTTAGTCCTGGTTTAGTCTTGAACCAGTCCAGATTTAGTCCTGGTTTAGTCTTGAGTCAGTCCAGATTTAGTCCTGGTTTAGTCTTGAGTCAGTCCTGGTCTAGTCCTGCTTTAGTCTTGAGTCAGTCCAGATTTAGTCCTGGTTTAGTCTTGAGTTAGTCTTGGTCTAGTCCTGCTTTAGTCTTGAGTCAGTCCTGGTTTAGTCCTGGATTAGTCCTGCTTTAGTCTTCAGTCAGTCCTGATTTAGTCCTGGTTTAGTCTTGGGTTAGTCCTGGTTTAGTCTTGAGTCAGTCCTGGTTTAGTCTTGAGTCAGTCCTGGTTTAAAGAAAGACCGATGGAGTGAGGCTATGACTTTGAAATAACATCGGGCAATGGCAGAATGTTCAGAATGTAACAACATCCAACACGAAGGCAAGAAGGTTCAAAAATAGTCTAGTCGGAAAATGTCAATTAATTAGCTGCGCAAGAAAACCAGGTAAGTTTGGGGTTGTTACGGACAATTAAGAATGTGAACATACACGCTGAGCGAATTTTGGAATGAATGAGCTATAGTTTGCATTTTTATCGAGGCTCCTTAGTTTGTTTGCTGTATGATTGTTCTAAAATCTAAAATCAATCGGCAGATGGCGGGCGGGTGCGGTTTTGAAAACCTTCGGTGCAAAATGGACAGCGGGCGGATGATGAGTTTTGTGTTGCAGTTGCGGATGAAAAAATAGCCCATCCGCGCATCTCTAGTGTGCGGTACATGCTATCATAGACTGGCATATGCTAAAGGTTTCAGACCCACGCATTTGCTGTCTCTTATACAGCCCAAAGTCCACAACAACATCATATCCCAACCCACTGACACTTCAAAGTCCAGACAACGCGTCATGTCAAGGAACACTGAACACTTCTATATTGCATAGTGAATTAACATGAATGAAACATTAAAAACAGAGAATAATCCCACACAATCCACATTTGCCATGTTCAGTGTGAAGGTACCTTAACAAAACAGATACCTACAACTGTATAACTTTCTTTAACTACATCTATTTATGAAAATGTACTTACTAAAAAGTACATTAAATACAATATAAGGCTATAATATACTGATACAGCTGTCTGCAATATCAATCCACTGCCAAAATTTCAAGTGGGAATTACAAAGTTGAGCTCAGTTTTTGTTTTGTTTTTTCACAGTTGCCTGCATTGTACACAGGACACACTATGAGTTAGCGAAAGCCCAACATATTTACAGTGAAAAACACCACAACACAGCTCCTATCCTTTTCTGATGTTATTATTATTATTATTTATTATTATATATATATATATTTTTTTTTTTTGTAATAAGAAGTTTGTCAAAAAAAGGACTGAAAACAGACTACAGAAGTTTGGTTAAATGAATGCTTAAGATTTATTATATTATTTATGACATGTGTGCACATAATAACTCCTAGTATAATAAGTCCTTCAGTGAGTTGGTTCAGTTCTTTTTTTTTCTTTTTTCTTTTCATTTGTATTTTATTGTCTTTTCACAACGTGTATTTACATAATAATTATGACAAGCAAAGTAATTTACAAATTGTCCATATTAAGTCAAGTCTAAATGTCCAATGTCCATTGTGTCCGTAGGCATTTCCACATTTCTCATTCCTGCTTACACAAACTGTAATGTAATTTTCATAAGAACAAGTAATTCAAGAAATAAAATAAAACATTGTAGCTTTAAACTGGGGTGTAAGTTTAGTCTTTGTTTTCCAGACACTCATAGAGTTGGTTCAGTTCTATGTCTTATTTGGTTGTGGTCTTCAGTGGAACACAGAACCACTAATGAACCCTGAGAGTTGAACCTGAACCCAAAGGCAGGGACCAGAGGCTGAGTGAAGGTTGTGCTGAAGCTGTGGAGCAGTGTTAGTTTGTCAGCCACACAATAGAAGGACAGGACCCCGGCGTCTGAGTCCACGTACACCCCCACAGTCCGAGAGCCGGGTCTGTGTGGCAGGACTGTCTCCTGATCGTTGTGCCAAACAGAGAAGCCTTCATCAGAGCAGAAGAGGCACCAGGACTGTTCATTTCTTCCTAAATAAGCTCCATTCATCTTCCCTTTCCTCTGCAGTCCTCTGTACGTCACAGCCACATGGACATGTCCGCTCCACTGCACCTGAAAGTAGCTCCGCCCACACAGCTCCTCAGCACACAGCACCTGATAGAACCAGTCGAACCTGTCGGGATGCTCTGGGTACGGTTCATTATCGTTCACACTCATCACTGCGGTCTTTCTGTCAGAGAACCTCAGTCTGGGGTGGACAGAGTCCATGTCCCACGTGAGACCCACGGAGTCTGGTGGACAGAACAGAGAACAGTAATACATCATGATCAAGATACTGTACTACTCCTTACTCATAATACAGGTATATAGTATATATAGTACTCTTGGTGCTTACACTTCTTAAAACCTGGTTTTAACCACTGCGGTCCACAGGGGTCCAGTCTGAAAAAAGAACAGCAGTGTCAGAACTGTTTTTCAGAGCAGAGCTGTGGAGGCAGTCGCCTGAGAAGATCACTGCACTTGTTTAGACTTGGTTCATACTTGAGTGATCGTAGCTTGTAGCGGGGCTCCCTGACCAGAGCCTGCAGGAGCTGCCCCCCTGTCTGTCCTGGGTGGTTGTAGCTCAGATCCAGCTCCTCCAGGTGGGAGGGGTTTGAGTTCAGAGCCGAGGTCAGATGTGTACAGCCCTCCTCTGAGACCAGACATCCAGACAGACTGGAGACACAGGAAACCAGGGGATTAAGACACAGTGTGTAACAAAGCCAGACTCAAGAGGGAAGGATTATCACCTGAGAGCCACCAGTCTGCAGGGGGCGCTCTTCAGCCCAGAACACAGCAGCTCCACTCCTGAATCCTGGAGGTTGTTGTCACTGAGATTCAGGTGTGTGAGACTGGAGGAGCTGAGAACTGAGGCCAGACGACCACAGCTGCGAGAGGACAGACCACAGCCACAAAGCCTACAACAAGAAATAGAAGTGAGACAAAGCAGAAATGCTGCTTTTTGTAAAAAAAATAAAAAATAAATAAATAAAAAAGAAATTAATAATAATAATAATAATAATAATAATAATAAATAAAATACATGGACCTGATGAAGTAGTTGTGACATCAACAAGATGACTTTATTGAAGTAACACTTAAATACAGGAATATAAAGCTTATGTTAAGTCAAGAGTTTACAGTAAGAACTGACCTGAGTGTCTCAATTTTGCAGGAGGTGCTGTTGAGCCCAGAACACAGCAGCTCCACTCCTGAGTCCTGGAGGTCGTTGTCACTGAGATCTAGGTGTGTGAGACTGGAGGAGCTGAGAACTGAGGCTAGAGGACCACAGCTGCGAGGGGACAGGCCACAACCACTCAGACTGAGGAGAGAGAGGAACATTAGAGACTAGAACCACCACACAAGAGTTTAAATACAGTCTGGACTCACAGGGCTTTAGTGGAGGCTTTGACCACTGGCAGCAGACCCACGAGAGCTGTCTCTGAGGGATAGAGTTTTCTAAGGTCAAACTCCTCCAGATCCAAGCCTGAGGACAGTAAGATGAAGCCCACAGCTGACCATTCAGCTGGAGAGCTTAACCAGGACAGACGCTCTGCTCTCATGTACTTCTGTATCTCCTTCTCCAGATTGCGGTCGTTCAGTTCATTCAGACAGTGGAACAGGTTCATGCTTCTGTCTGGAGACTGACCCTCATCCAACTTCTTCTTGATGTAGTCAGTGGTCTTTTGGTTATTGTGTGAACTTGTTTTGCATGTTGTCAGACCTCGCAGCAGCTTCTGGTTCTCCTCCAGAGACAGCCCCAGGAGGAAGCGCAGGAACAGGTCCAGGTCCATGTGTCCATTTGGACTCTGTAAGGCCTGGTCCACAGCAGAGCAGTAAAAAACTTCAGTGTTTGTTCTCTTCCTGCCTATGTTCAGAGAAGATTGTTTCTTCAGCAGCAGGTTCTCTCCAGAGCTGAAGAAGGTGTGATGGACGTGAAGAGCAGCCAGAAACTCCTGTACACTCGGGTGGATGAAGCTGTAGACATGGTCTTCATAGAGGCCCCTCTCACCTTTGAAGAGGTCTGTCACTACTCCAGAGTAAACAGAGGCCACTGTAGCGTCCAGCCCATATTCACTCAGGTCACTCTCATAGAAGATCAGGTTGTTTTTCTGCAGCTGCTCAAAGGCCAGTCGTCCCAGAGACCGAACCATCTTCTTGTTTTCAGCAGACCAGGCAGAACCTGTCTCCAGTTTGTCATCATATTTGATGTTCTTCTGTTTAAGCTGCACCACCAGGAAGTGGATGTAGAGGTTTGTGAGAGTCCGGGGCAACTCTGGTTCCTCTGTTTGTTCCAGAAGCTTCTGTAGAACCGTGGAGAGGATCCAACAGAAGACTGGGATTCTGCACATGATGTGGAGGCTGCGGATGCTCTTGATGTGGGAGATGATGGCTGTGGCCTGGTCTCTGCACCTCTTCCTGAAGTACTGCTCCTTCTGCGGGTTAGTGAATCCTTGCACCTCTGTCACCATGGAGATGTACTCAGCAGGGATCTGATTGGCTGCTGCGGGTCGTGTGGTTATCCAGAGGCGAGCGGAGGGAAGCAGGCTTCCTCTGATGAGGTTCACCAGCAGCACGTGCACTGAGGTGATCTCTGTGGTGTCTCGGTCAGGACGCGGGTTTCGACTGAAGTCCAGAGGAGGTCTGCACTCGTCCAGACCATCAAAGATGAAGAGCACCTGGAGATGTTGGAACCTGCAGAGACCTTTGGATGGACTGAAGAAGTGGTGCAGCAGTCCCACCAGGCTGAACTGTCTATCTCTGAGCACATTGAGCTCTCTGAAAGTGAACGGGAACAGCAGCTGGAAGTCCTGGTGGGCCCGGCCTTCAGCCCAGTCCAGACTGAACTTCTGAGTCAACACTGTTTTCCCCACGCCGGCCACACCCCTCATCAAGCACCACTCTGTTTGACATCTTTTGGACTTTAAACATGTCTTCACATGTGATGATGGTCTCTAGAGAAAGCAGGTCTCCTGGACATGGTCTCCATGTGTCTGACCTCACCTTCCTGGTTGACCTCTGAGGCCCCGCCCTCTGTGATGTAGAGCTCTGTGTAGATCTGGGTCAGGGGGACGGAGTTTCCTGCTTTAGCTCCACCCTCAAACACACGACTGAACCTCTGCTGCAGATCAGACTTCAGTTTATTGCGATGTTCAGAACCACATTGTCCTGAAACAGAAGTGAAAATAAGAAATGACATAATGACACAAAGAGACATAACAGATCTCAAACTGAAGCTCCTCACTGTTGTGTAGACGTTCAGCCAATTTGTCCTGGTCCAAAGTCTTGAGGAAG